AAGCTATTCCTCGGGTATCTAAGAAAATGGAGAGATGCTACAAATGCATTGGTTTCGGTCACCAGGCAAGAAACTGCAAAGGCCCTGACAGATCTGATCTGTGCAGGAAATGCGGAGAGAAGGGGCAAGTTGCAAAAGACTGTACAAAGCAACCGAGGTGCATGCTCTGCAAAAAGGAGGACGGAAATGGCCATGTGACGGAAAGTTTCAGGTGCCCAGAGTTCAAGAAGGCGATGGTGGGCCAGCAATAATGAAGGTAACCCAAACAAATATGAATAATTGCAACACAGCACAGCAACTGTTGTGGCAGTCAACAACGGAAACAAAGTGCGACGTTGCAATCATTGCAGAGCTATATCGAGTCCCTCTCGATAATGGTAACTGGGTGGCGGATAGAGCAGGAATGGCGGCCATACAAGTCATGGGCAGGTATCCCATTCAACAAGTGGTGGCGGGCTCATACGAAGGTTTCGTGATCGCCAAAATCAATGGAATCTACACACTTAGATTTTTTGCCGAGATGGGCACCACCGAGCAGCTCGGCATTTTATTTTGCTGGATCTCAGTGAAAAACTTGCCGAGATTCAGCTAACAAACGGGAATTTTGCCGAGATCTCAGCTAACAAACATATTTTTTGCTGAATTTCCAGCAAAATAAAATGCCGAGCTGCTCGGTGGTGCCCATCTCGGCAAAAAAATCTAAGTGTGTATGTATGTAGTTGCTACGCACCACCGAGATGGACAATTGAGCAGCTCCACCAGATGCTAGATGGGCTCACCGGAGAGCTTTTTGGACGGAGACCAGTCTTCATCGCAGGAGATTTCAATGCTTGGGCAGTGGATTGGGGGAGCAGATGTACCAACGCAAGAGGGTATAGCCTGCTGGAAGCTCTGGCAAAGTTGAACGTCAGTCTGGCCAAGGTAGGAACCATCAGCACCTTCCGCAAAGATGGTAGGGAATCCATTATCGACGTCATTTTCGGCAGTACGTCGCTAATGGCAAATGTGAACTGGACAGTGTGCGAAGAGTACACCCATAGTGACCATCAGGCGATCCGGTACAGTATCGGCGAACGGACACCGGTGGAAATGCGGAGGACGAAAGTAAGCGAGCGGAAGTGGAAGACGAAGGCATTCAATAAGGATCTCTTCATCGAAGCTCTAAGGGTAGACAGCAGCGTCCCGGGCCTAAGCGCGAACGAGTTGACCGAATCATTAGCAAGGGCATGTGACACAACTATGCCGAGAAAACTGGAGCCAACGAACAGTCGGTGTCCAGCTTACTGGTGGAACGAGGAAATTAGCACCCTCCGTGCTACTTGTCTTCTAGCCAGAAGACGTGCTCATAGAGCAAGAACAGAAGCACACAGAGAGGAGTGCAGGGTGGTGTTCGGAGAGGCCAGGGCTGCACTGAAGCGAAAGATAAAGCTGAGCAAATAGTTTCAAGGAGCTGTTACCCCTGGGGTACCGCATACCGAGTCGCGATGGCGAAGATCAGAGGTCCAACGATGCCGGTTGAAATGTGTCCCAACAAGCTGAAAGTCATCGTGGAGAGACTTTTCCCACCGCATGACCCAACGAACTGGACACTAGACTGATGCAAATTTTGACATTTTCGCTCCACAGTGCTCAAACGGTTCCAAATCGGGTCCTGATTAGTCTCCCAAAATTTGAACTCATTTGAAAAGAAACTGACTTGGCACAAACCATTTGAAGTTTATATGGAAATTACTATGGGAAATCCAAACTTTTTGTTCATTGTCTTCTTACCTTTTTCCATATGGCACTGTTCAAAAATTCAAAAGCTATACTTATGGAAAATTTTCTCAGCTTCAACATAGCAGAATGTAGTTGTTGAGCCAAACGTCAAATAAAATAGTTATTAATTGTTTAAGAGCTTGATAATCTTATGGCATGATCAAGCATCTGTTTTGTGAGCAACACTGTATCTTGCAGTGTGACGTAGTAGCCATGATTTTTGTGCTCTATTCCAAGCGTCAGAAACACCAATGTTGCCTGCTGAACAGTTGATTGAGCATAATCGTAAGACATTAGTGGTTTGAATTGTTGATAACTTTTGATGCTAACATTATATTGAAAAGTGGTTCAGGACAAAGTTGTAGCTGAGAAAATTATTCTTCAAAGCAGAGCTATATGGTAAATTGTTAGATGGATATGAACAAAACATTTGGTTTTCCCATAGTAATTTCCATATAAACTTCAAATGGTTTGTGCGAAGTCAGTTTCTTTTCAAATGAGTTCAAATTTTGGGAGACTAATCAGGACCCAATTTGGAACCGTTTGAGCACTGTGGAGCGAAAATGTCAAAATTTGCATCAGTCTACTGGACACCTACACCATATGGCGAGGAAGATAAAGACAACGTTGAACAAGTCTCCAACGAGGAACTCATAGAAGCAGCGAAAGGGTTGAAGGCGAATAAAGCTCCCGGTCCGCATGGAATTCTCAACGTGGCGTTGAAGACGGCGATCCAGACGTTCCCGAACATGTTCAGGATCAGGATAGTGCTGCAGAAATATCTGGACGAGGGTCAGTTCCCTGATAGGTGGAAGGTACAAAAGCTTGTGCTTTTGGCGAAGCCCGGAAAACCGCCGGGGGATCCTGCATCGTATAGGCCAATATGCTTGCTGGATACTGTCGGAAAGCTCTTGGAGAGGATCATCCTGAACAGGCTGACGAAATGCACGGAGAGTGAACATGGATTGTCGGAGAGGCAGTTTGGATTCCGGAAAGGAAGATCGACGGTGGATGCAATTCAGACAGTGATTGACAGAGCCGAGAAAGCTTCCAAACAGAAGCGGAGAGGAAATCGATACTGCGCCGTGATTACGATTGATGTGAAGAATGCATTCATTAGCGCCAGCTGGGAGGCCATCGCCAAGGCGCTCCATAGAATGAGGGTTCCAGACTACCTCTGCAGGATTCTAAGTAGTTACTTCCAGAACCGGGTCCTGGTCTACGTGACAGACACGGGGCAGAAATCGCTAAGAATCACGGCGGGAGTTCCCCAAGGCCCCATTCTAGGTCCCACGCTGTGGAACGGAATGTACAATGGCGTGCTGACGCTCAAGCTGCCCAAAGGAGTTGAGATCGTTGGCTTTGCGGACGATGTTGTCTTGACGGTAACCGGTGAGACGCTGGAAGAAGTGGAAATGCTGGTGGCCGAGGCGATAGATACGATTGGTAACTGGATGCAAGGAGCGAAGCTGCAGATAGCCCACCACAAAACAGAAGTGATGTTGATCAGTAACTGCAAAGCAGTGCAGCGGGCAGAAATCACCGTTGGAGAGCGCACCATTGTTTCGAAGCGCATGCTAAAGTATCTGGGAGTGATGATCGACGACCGGCTAAACTTTAATAGCCACATCGAATATGCTTGCGAGAAGGCGGCGAAGCTCATCAACGCAATAGCCAGAATCATGCCGAACAATTCTGGTCCAAGCAGCAGCAAGAGGCGTCTTCTGGCTAGTGTGTCCTCATCGATACTAAGGTACGGAGGTCTAGCCTGGATTGAAGCGCTGAAAACGAAGCAGAACCAAAGGAAATTGAGCAGTACGGTCCGGCTCAGGCAGTATGCGTTATCGCCGGTATGATCCCAATTGGCATCACCTTGACGGAGGACTACGAGTGCTATATGACGAGAGAAACCAGAGGAGTACGAAAAATGGTGAGAACGGAGTCGATGGCTAAGTGGCAGCAGGAGTGGGATGCATCAGAGAACGGTAGGCTAATACTGACTCTTTCGACCTGGGTGAACAGGAAGCATGGAGAAGTCAACTTCCACTTGACGCAGTTCCTGTTTGGTCATGGATGCTTCAGGAAGTACCTACATCGGTTCGGACACACAACGTCACTCTTCTGTCTGGAGTGTGGGAATGTGGAAGAATCACCAGAGCACGTGGTCTTCGAATGTCCTGGATTTGATGATGTGCGAGAGGATATGCTCGCCCTTAGCACGGAGAATGTCGTCGACGAAATGTGTCGAGAGGAAGGCACCTTTAACGCCGTCAGCAGAGCAGTAACGTAGATCATGCAGCGAAACTGGCGAGAAGACCAACTAGAAAGTAGTAATGTGCTCACACAAGTGCGAAGTGTTAAGCCGAAGCCGGGAGAACTCTCCGTAAGAGTAGGCTGTATCCACCACCGGGGATAACCGAGTAGAACGTGACGCTGGGAGCTAAATGGCTCACAAATTGGAGAGACGATCAGCACACTGGAAGCGCCAATTAGCTGAGGTAAAGTGAGGTGCGTAATGCACGGCCCCCTCGGAAGTAACCCAGACAACCAGAAGTCGTATAGCAATGTACAGACGGTATCGTAAATAGTTACAGTTTTTGTCACCATCGCATAAAAGTATGGCATACATCGCATTATGTTTAAGTTAAATCGTATAGAATGCAAATTTCCGACTTTTATGCGATGAATCATTTTTCCATCGTACTGTACCACAAATTAAATCGGATTACATCGTAAGACTTTTCAAATTGAATTTGTTATGACAGACTGAATCGTATATGATGCCAAATCAACTCGTTTAATTATAAATTAAGATTTGCACGTATATGGCCTCCAATTTTGTAGGTATAAGCCCCCTTTTTGCATTCTATACGATTTGATTGTTTGTATATATGTTTGTATATCACAGAAACAACTTTGAATATACGTGCATTCTGGTTGTCTGGGAATACGACAAGTGGTTCCGGGGGAAAAGGGCAAGGCGTCCGAGGAGGTTTTAGTGCGGTAAGAATCCCACATACCGTGTCACCGCGACTGTGCGCCCAGTCGTCAAGCGGTGATACGATGGCCTTTTTGAAAGTTTCCTCCTTGCAAAAAAAAAACACACACACACACACACACACACACACACACACACACCTATTCATGGCACTCCAAGTAGGTTAAATGGTCATCAATCAACTGCGTCGTCCAAAAATGGGTAGAAAATGTATCGAACTAAGTCGTCGCACCCACGCACTCACCTCAAGGTACTTTCCGCCAAGTCACGAAGGTAATCCGTAAGCAATGGTTAAGGGATAAACGTCTGACCGATCACTTCCTTTTGCAGTGGTTTATGGAGCACTGTGGTACTCTGAAATAAAAAAAGGAAACTTATCGTTAGTATACATCCTGCATTCACCTTCATTTCTTTCCCTAAGCAGTCAATCAAATTGAAGAATTATTAGTAAACGCACAACGCACCGGTCGTCCGGAGAAGGAAGAAAATCCTATTGCACACTCACGTTTTACTTTTTTTTCTGAATGGTTAGAATCAAGCCACGACCGTACCCAGGTGGCTACCGTCAAGCTTCCGGCAGTTGATGCCAGGAAGGCGGCAGCCACAGGGAGGGTACGAGTGGGCTGGTCGGTTTGCCCGGTGAGCATCCCCCGACCGGTTATGGCTTGTTTTAGGTGCTTCGGTCAGGGCCATGTGGCCCGTGACTGTAAGAACACCGACAGGAGCAAGCTATGCAGATGGTGCGGCTCGGAGGGCCATAAGGCGCGAGGTTGCCAAAATCCGGCGAGGTGCACTATATGCGCGGAGAAGGGGAAATCCCCTACCAACCACATGGCAGGTGGCCCACGCTGCCCGGGGGCCAAGAGCAATGCTAAGCCATGTTCGAGATAGCGCAGTTGAACCTGAACCACTGCTCGGCTGCCCAGCAACTGCTATGGCAATCGGCAACGGAATGGGGAACGGATGTCGCAATCATCTCCGACCCGTACCGCGTCCCAACCGGCAACGGGAATTGGGTCACGGACGCGTCGGGGATGGCGGCGATATGCACGATGGGGAGCTTCCCCATTCAGGAGGTAGTCGTGTCCAACTCGAGCGAGGGATTCGTGATCGCCAGGGTCAATGGAGTATACTTATGTAGCTGTTATGCTCCGCCCACTATCGAGCAGTTCTCGCAGATGGTGGACAGACTCACTGCGGTACTTGTCGGCCTAAGACCGGTGGTCATTGCGGGCGACTTTAACGCATGGGCGGTGGAGTTGGGGAAGCCACCACACCAACAAGAGAGGATGCATCCTACTGGAGGCAATGGCCAAACTGGACGTTGTACTTGCCAACACCGGTTCGGTCAATACCTACAGAAGGAATGGTGCAGAATCCGTACAATATGGGTATTTTCGGAAAGGGGATGACGTGTAGAGGTCGGAAATCGATGCCAGACGCAGTTTTGAATTCCAAGATGGCGGTCATCGGTTCAAGAAAAACTGTCAAATACCCTACTATATGAGTATTTTCGAAAAGGGAACGACGTGTAGAGGCTGGAAATCGATGTCATTTGATCGTTGGTAAAAAAGAAAATTGAAAGAGTTCAGTATTGCCTTAACCAAGTGTTTAACTGCGATGAAACAAAACTGTTTTACAAAAAAAGCTTCAAAGACCTTATATCTCAGAGCATCTGAAAACAATGCCGGTACCGAAAGGGGACAAACAAGGGTTCTCAATCATGTTTTTCTCTAAAGCGAAATTTACAGGAAGTAAATCTCCTTGGGCTACAAAATGGTGAGTTGACAACCTGGAAGGAGCGGAATACCTAGCCCTGGTCCTCACAAGTTCCAACGGTGCGGCTCAAAACGGCGTCTGTTCTCCATGTTAGGAGCGGCTGATCACCGTCCTAGTGCCAGCGTGGGACTCTAAACAGAGCTGTGCACGATGGTCCCCCGGCGAGACAGGGGGTTGGGGCAGGCCCAACAAGCCACATTGAAAAAAAAAAAAAACAAAGTTGCAAATACCGAAGAAAGAAATACGGATTGGAACAATCAGCACAGACCTACGCGACGAAATAAGGACTACGATTGGAAACTCGGAACATGGAACTGCAAATCGCTCGGCTTCCCGGGTTGCGATAGATTAATCTATGACGAACTTCAACCACGCAACTTCGAAGTCGTAGCACTGAAGGAACTTTGCTGGACGGGACAAAAGGTATGGAAAAGCGGGCATCGAGCGGCTACTTTCTACCAGAGCTGTGGCACCACCAACGAGCTGGGAACCGGCTTTGTAGTGCTGGGTAAGATGCGCCAACGCGTGATTGATTGGCAGCCGATCAACGCGAGGATGTGCAAGTTGAGGATGAAGGGCCGTTTCTTCAACTACAGCATCATCAACGTGCACTGCCCACACGAAGAAAGACTCGACGACGAGAAAGAAGCATCTATGCGCGGCTGGAGCAGGTGTACGACGGCTGTTCGTAACGGGACGTCAAAATCGTTATAGGCGACGTGAACGCTCATGTAGGACGGGAGGCAATGTATAGACCGACAATCGGGCCAAACAGCCTGCATGCCGTATCGAACGACAACGGCCAACGATGCGTGAACTTTGCAGCCTCCCGGGGTATGGTAGTTCGAAGTACCTTTTTCCTCCGCAAGGATATCCACAAAGCCACCTGGAGATTACCTGACCAACACACAGAAAACCAAATCGATCACGTTCTAATCGACGGGAAATTCTTCTCCGACATTATCAGCGTCCGCACTTACCGCAGTGTGAACATAGATTCGGACCACTACCTAGTTGCAGTATGCATGCGCTCAAAACTCTCGACGGTTCATAACACCCGTCGAAGTCGATCGCCGCGACCCAACATTGAGCAACTACGGGACGCCGGAGTTGCCCAGGACTACGCGCAGCAGCTGGAAGTTGCACTACCCACGGAAGAGCAGCTTGGTGCAATCCCAGACCGAAGAAATTACTAATTTGACGGCAAATGCAAACTGTCAGTAGAGGAGAAGCATGCAGCACGGACGAGAAAGTTGTAACACCGCCCTAGATTGAATGCGGAGCGATACAGACAAGCGCGGAACGGACAAAACTCGGTTTTCCGAAGGAAGAAGCGTCAGGAGGAAGACCGAGATCGCGAGGCGATGGAAAATCGCGTAAACGACACACGGAAGTTCTACGAGAAGCTAAATAGTTCGCGCAAAGACTACGTGCCGCAAGCCGATATGTGCAAGGACTTGGACGGTAACCTTCTCACGAACGAGTGTGAGGTGATTGAGAGGTGGAAGCAGTACTATGACGAGCACCTCAACGGTGAAGCAGCAGAAAACGAAGGTGGCACGGCAACAGACCTTGGAGCGAGCGCAGAAGACGACAGGCTACCGGCCCCTGATCTTCAAGAAGTTGAGGAGGAGATCGGTCAACTGAAGAACAACAAAGCAACTGGTGTAGATCAACTACCAAGTAAGCTATTAAAATACGGTGTTGAAGCACTGGCTAGAGCGCTGCACTGGGTAATTGCCAAGATTTGGGAGGAGGAGATATTACCGGAGGAGTGGATGCAAGGTGTCGTATGCCCAATCTACAAAAAGGGCGACAAGTTGGATTGCTGCAACTACCGCGCGATCACACTGCTAAGCGCCGCCTACAAGGTACTCTCCCGAATTCTATGCCGCCGTCTGTCACCATATGCAAGAGAGTTCGTGGGGCAATACCAGGCGGGATTCATGGGTGCCCGCGCTACCACGGACCAAATTTTCGCGATTCGGCAGATTCTGCAGAAATGCCGCGAATACAACGTGCTCACACATCATTTGTTCATCGATTTCAAATCCGCATACGACACAATCGATCGAGATCAGCTATGGCAGATTATGCACGAGTACGAATTTCCGGATAAACTGACGCGATTGGTCAAGGCGACGATGGATCGTGTGATGTGCGTTGTTCGAGTATCGGGGACACTCTCGAGTCCCTTTGCATCTCGAAGGGGGTTACGGCAGGGTGATGGACTTTCGTGTCTGCTGTTCAACATTGCGTTAGAAGGTGTGATCAGAAGAGCTGGGATAGACACGAGTGGCACGATATTCAGGAAGTCCATCCAGCTCCTTGGCTTCGCCGATGACATTGACATTATGGCACGGAACTTTGAGATGATGACGGAAACGTACATCAGACTGAAGGCTGAAGCTAGACGGATTGGACTTGCCATCAACGCATCGAAGACAAAATACATGAAAGGAAGAGGTTCTAGGGAAGGCAATGTTAGCCTCCCACCCCGAGTTCAGATTGACGGTGACGAAATCGAGGTGGTCGATGAGTTCGTGTATTTGGGCTCACTGGGGACCGCCGAAAATGATACCAGCAGAGAAATTCAAAGACGCATTATGGCAGGGAATCGTGCCTACTTTGGACTCCGGAGGACGCTCCGGTCGAATAAAATTCGCCGCCGCACGAAGTTGACTGTCTACAAGACGCTGATTAGACCGGTGGTCCTTTACGGCCACGAGACCTGGACTATGCTCGTGGAGGACCAACGCGCCCTTGGTGTTTTCGAACGGAAGGTGTTGCTTACCATCTACGGTGGAGTGCAGATGGATGACGGAACGTGGAGGAGGCAAATGAACCACGAATTGCACCAGCTGTGGGAGAACCATCCATCGTCCACATTGCAAAAATTGGGCGACTACGGTGGGATGGGCACGTCGTAAGAATGCCGCACGAAGACCCAGTGAAAATGGTTCTAGAAAGCGACCCAACAGGAACAAGAAGAAGAGGTGCGCAGCGGGCAAGGTGGATCGACCAATTAGAAGGTGACCTGCGGACCCTTCGCAGACTACGAGGCTGGCGAACTGTGGCCATGGATCTAGTAGAGTGGAGACGACTTTTTCGGACAGCAGAGGACAACAAGGCCTTAACCGGATTGGTAAGGTAAGGTAAGTAAATCTCCTTGGCCATTATCTTGACAACATAAAAGGTTGGATGACCCGAGAATTATTTGAGGACTGGATAAACGATTGCTTCTCATCACAGTTGGAGGAGTTTTGCGCAGCCAAGAACATAAGCTTCAAGGCTTTGTTGCTCCTTGATAACGCTCCGTTGCATCCGCCCACCATAAGCAATCGCAACATAATGCTTCTATACATGCCACCAAAGATCACGTCTTTGATTCAACCCCTTGATCAAGGCATCATCACAAATCTCAAGCTGAAGTATGTCAAGGGAAGCTACAGTTTTATCCTGGAAACAGCCGAGAATGAAGGCCTTTCGCTAGCGGATAAACGAAAGTAGTTCAGCATCAAGAATTGTTTCGACTACTTGGATGTGGTTCTAAAGGACATAAAACAAAGCACGTA